CAGCAATAATCTACTTCAAGAGAAGGTGGGCATCAAAGAGGTTCCGTAAGTTGGTTAGCCATTTGGACAAGAAACTGTCCAAATGCTCTTGTCTGGATATGCAGGACCTGCAGAGAAATGATTTTTGAACATGCCTAAAGGTGGGATGATCCTTCAGGGTTCCTAGTTCCTGAAAGAGTCTGCAAGACATTCTGCAGGATACAGAAAAAAATGACTGAACAGCCTTTAAAACTTCCTGCTTCATGAAAAGGTCTGCTGGATACTATAGGCCTGTAGACTGAAGATGGATGTCCCAAAGGTACAGAAAAACTTTGAGTGACTGTCCAGGCAGCGAGATGTCTTTGTCAATTCTTGAGTTTTAGAAGTTGCTTATAATATACTTCCAGTTTACATAGGTAATATTATATTTTTCTGTAGTCTTTGATGGAGTTGAAGAATTTATAGTTATAGTTTTCCTTAGTTATGATAAAAGATAAAGTAAATATAAATATTGTGACTGTAATTCTTGCTTGATAACTGTTTTGTTATACGTAATTTTACTAAGTTAAAGTTAAAGCCTTCCTTTTTGTTTAAACAGAAAAGGGGAAATGGTGTAGGAGGTCTTTCTGTCTTTGTGCTGCTTTCATTGGTTAATAAAAAAACTGCTTTGGGCCTGTTGATAGGGAAGAACTTAGGTAGGCAGGGAAGACAAAACTGAATGCTGACAGAAAGAAGGGTGGAGTGGGATATACACCATGGATCTGCTAGAGACAGATGCTGAGAATTTTACCCAGTAAACCACTGCCATGTGGCAATACACAGATTAATAGAAATGGGTTAAATTAAGATATAAGAATTAGTCAATTAGAAACTAGAGCTAATGGGCCAAGCAGGGATTTAATTAGTACAGTTTCTGTGTGGTTATTTAGGGGCTAAGCTAGCCGGGCAGCAAGGATGAACAAGCAGCCCCTCCTTGCAAAAGCCAAGCTTTCAAAATTAATAAGAAGTCTCCACATTGTGTCATTTATTTGGGAGAAAAATCCACTTACAAATGGCATCCAAAGTCTGGGCACGTATTTCCACATAAGACTTGAAAAAGCTTTCAAAAATGTTCCAAACACACAAAAACAGAGCCAAACATGGCTTCCTAGTTTTTTTTTTAGATGTCATGCAGGCCACAGTATAGAAACAAGTTTCCTGGATACTGCCTGTGGGCTTGATCCACCAGCAGGCCATGAATGAGCTAAGATGCACAGCAATTAAAGATTTCCTGTGGATAAAAGAAGTTTCAATACTCAGTAAAACAGTTTCAGATGGAAGAAAAAAAAAACGCCTAAACACATTAACACAATGTGTTTAACAATATGCACAAACTTTAGAAGAAAAGAGGTATAGAGAGTCATAGAAAGCATAATATTGTAAAAATAATAAACTATTTTAAGAGAGAAGTAAAGTAAATAATAATAAAAGAAGAAGAAGCCATGTAGAGATGGGAGATACACAGGGAATCTGGATCCTGTATAGTGTTGCATTGACTTTAATTTTTTATTGCTGATGAACAGACAACAGGTACTGAGAGACACTGGATTATAGAAACTGCTAAAGTAAACCAACCTATATATTTTTAAGATGTCTTAGCTTCAAAATGGAAGTGAAAAAATATGTTGTGTTGGGGAAGAAGTGATACCTTTGTTTCCACAGAAAATGAAAGACTGCAGATTTGTGCAAGGTTAAAGAGGATCAGGTTTAATTGGTGGAGATGCCTTGAAAATTCTGGCTACAGACATAAGAAGTAAGTGTAGGAAAACTACACGACAGGTCATGTGTATTTTACCTGCACAAATGTAAAACAAAAATATCACCTTTGGTTGGCTTGTGCACAATGAACAGTTCATACTTGTGTTAAGGCAGATATGTATGTCATCTTTAAAAGTTTATGTGTTTTCAGAGCAAGGAGACCAGGCCCGAGTAAAAACAGGTGGACCAGATGATCCAACCTCTCAGAATACCTCTGCTGCAGTTTCCTCAGAGTTCTGCATCTCAAACAGTTTCAAGGCTGCTAGCTGAGATGGTCCAACCTCACACACTATTCTAGCCAGGGCTTGACCATTATCGTAATTTTGTCAGGGTCCCCCAGAGATGCCCCTAGTACCCCCAGAAAACAGGAAGCAATCTAGAGAACACAATGCCCACATTCCCACGAGATGGGGTGGGTGGTTTTTGGTCATTCAATGCATTATGGATATTTGTGATCAACTAGGGGGGTTAGTTACAAGTTGTGATTGGTAATGAACAAGGAAAAAGCTGAACAAAGAAGATTAGATTCGGGTTCTTGTTTTGAAAATAAAAAGTGGAGATTTTAGAAATGATAAGATAAAAGGGTAGGTTACTGAAACTACTTTTAAGCTAAAAAAAGCAACTACTAGTCTTAAATATTTTACATTGGTATGGATTTTGATATATTGGTGCAAATTTTTTTTTTGCTTTTTTTTTTCCCCAACCCTATTGGTGCAAATTTAAAGTTATTTTTGTTATACTGAATATATGTTTCTACTCTCGCTATTTATTTGGGTATATCTAATACATTGCTACTACGTTCAAAGGACAGTTGGGGACTTACCACAATATATCCCCAGTCCTTCAGATCTGCTAGAACTTCACACTGTTAGTCCATTCCTAGATTGTCGATGAGAATTATGACACACTACAGGCAGAAACCCAAGCATGATGTGTCAGCTCTGAACCAAAGGATAGACCGTTACATTTAGAGTTGTGACAGTCACATGAGAGCCAGAAGGACACTTATTTTAGGACATGAATGTGATTGGACTATGGCAGTTGATGAAGATCAGAGCGGGGAAGTAAGATTTCATCCACTGGGAACCTGGTATCAGAAATACAAAAAGAAAAGAAAAAAAAAACAAGAAAATAGGAGGCAGATTGTGACACACACTCTGAATGATGACACCGTCTTCCTTGCAAATCAAAAAAGTAATAAAGGGTGAGATTTGTTTCGAAAAGCCAGGAGGAAGCGCGAGACTCAATCAAGTCTTCTACAAAGCCTACAGAAAGGAACCACGGGAAGGCGAGATTTTATTTTCCCCTCAGATGCTGAGATGACTCCTTGTCTCAGAGGGAATGTTGCACTGTGTTATAATGGGAGACTCCTTCTTCGTGTTCAAGGGCTTTACAACACACTAGAAAACAGGGAGGGACATGCTTTCCTGTCTGTAACTCGATGAGGGGATCCATTAGAAATGCAGTTACAGAATTAGCAAAGCAATGAATGATTTCTGTCACCTTTCCTTCTAATAATTAGTTAAGAAAGAGAGAAAACAACTATTTTTTTTAACATACACTTCCATGAAGTTGGCAGCCAAGAGTGTTCCGTAAAGAATAGTGAATGTACTGGTTTATGATGGATCTCTGGGGGAGAGAATATGATTAAATTGATGAATTAGAAGATTTTGAAGAAATTCACCTTTAGGCTATAAGAGAAAAAAACCCATCAGTTACTTTCTATAATTTATGAATCTTAAATATTAAAATAATATTGCCATATCCCTGAAGAGGCACATGTCCTTTAGAGTTGTGCATTTGGGAAACGTGTGTATAGTGTTGCTTCAGATTTACAAGCGGCATACAGAGATGGAGAAAACATGTTGTTGTTAAAAAGTTGATCATTTTCAGTAACATGAGATAAGTGTAAAATAGCATTTAAAGTTATGCTGCTTTTTATTATGAAAAGAATCTAAATTCATTCAATGAAATTCACAGCTACTCAGTGTGGTTGAGGGTGGGGGCAGGGAATCTCTTGCCTAAGAAAGTGGTCTAAATCCTTTGCCCAAGAGGGTAGTGTTAAGAACAATCTTCCAGTATTTGAAGATTTGATCAAAATAGTCTATCTAGAATCTTCTAGAAAACTGAAAGACTTGATAATTTCTAATTCCTAGAATAAAGTCTCAAATATATTCTCAAATGTTTACATTACTTCTTAGTTTTGATTTATGGTTTAGCTATTTCCATGTTATATTTATATAGGCTTTGAACCCTCTCTACCACCCTATCCCACACTCCCTCCATGTTTTTCCTGCTACTGGTAGGGAACATTCTACTGGGGGAGCTGTCTGATCAAAGCCTATTAATCCCACTGGGCAGGAATAAGAACATTACCAAAATTTTGAGTCAAATGTAACACAAGATTTATTAAATACTAGCCAGGATGACAGACACAGGCCATATCCATACCCAGGATTCCCAAAGAATGGACATAAAGTACATTAGTCTGGTTTTTATGAAGGCAAAACCCACAAGGCTATGTACGACCCACTTTTGTCCAACTGGGGGCAAGCATACATCCTGACATACTTCCTTCTTATGTACCTCCCACCTACATGTGATCAAGCACATCCTGTGCAGTTGGGGCAACCAGCCTTGTTTACTGAAGTGAGAAACACATGGCTTGTTATCTCACATAAACAGAAGCCCCCAACATTCCAGGAAGTTATCTGTCCTTGGGCAAGTAGGACTTACAGGCTAGAGACATTTTTGTTTTATAGATCTATGAAGCATGGTAATTTAAACTTAAAACATTACTATAGCCATAACAAACCAAGGTTGGAGTAGTTCGTAGAAATACCTGCAGCATTCATTGTGAGCGACAGGACAGGGTTATTGCACGGCTTCTCTTCTCTTTAGAGAGGAAAACTCTGATGGCTATGAAGTGACAGCAAACTGTCACCCCACCCCATTTAGTCTTTAAGACAAGCTGACAGTAGATAGACCATCAGGAGGAAAAAGTCTAAAAATACATTCATAGAAATACACACTGTGGTTACAGAGTTTAAAATTCAAGGAAGGGCCTTGTACTCCAACCTTAAAAACCTTCATAATAGATAGAAAAGATGAGGCTGTGTGAAAAAATAGTAACTCTTATGAGAGCTGAACAGCAAGAAAAACAGACCGTGGACTGGGGCAGAGTTCACCTGAAGCTGACTCTGATATCAGTCTAGTTTCCCCCCCCCCCCCCATGAATTACTTTTCAGAAGTCTCTAGCCTTCAGACGGATGAGGAAACTTCAAAGAGAACCTTGTCCTAGGCTTTAAGAGAAAATAGGACAAGGCATGGTTTGAAGTTCTTACTAGAGTTTTTACAACAAAAACCTGAGCTCCATCAACCCCAACAGATGAAGGACAGTGACCCATCCTCAATAAACCAGCTAAAGGGACAATTGGCAGTGAAATGCAGGGAGAGATTTATTTAGTGTGGCCACATTGGGAAGAAGAATACATAAAGAGATGTGGTAGATCCAAGTCCATCTTCAAAGCATTGTCATATACTTTAAGTCTAAGTAGAGGAAGAATTAGGGCAGGGGACAAAACGTGCATAATTAACTGGACCTGGTCAAGATGTGGTCTCTTTGATCATTGTTTCAATTCTTGTTCTGCAAGGTAGTCAAAGAAATAAAATTTCTGTCATCACTTAAGGGATCAATCTGATTCCTCCAAGGTGATCACTCCTCCGTGGTCCAGGAACCCAAGGTCACTCTGTATCCCTGGAAAAATTAAAGGAGACAGCGAGGCACAAAATGAAGTCAAGCATCAGACTTTCCTCCTGCTTATAGCTACTTTCTGGAGATAATATATTTTAGCAAAAGGACCTACTAAGTGTCTGTATCTATGGAAGTGAGGAAGTGGGGGGAGTAAGAATGACCATGATTCTTTCTTCAGTTTGAAGTACTCAGCACGCCAAAGCACCATATTGCTCACTCCCATTTTCTGCCCCCGAACAAAATCAAAGTTTGAGATGGCCAGTGTCTTCCAATGATAACAGACCTCGTGAAAATTAATTCACAAAGGTAAAAACTTAAGTTGTCTTTGATAAAACTACAAGAAAAATAAAAATTAAGTCCTAGCAATGAAAGCCTCTGACCCACTGAGTGCTGGGACTACAGGCAAAGTTTATACTTCTTGCCTTAGCAAAAAGGTACCCACCCTTGTCTTTTATCTTCATCTTCCAATTTCCGGAAAATTATACTGATTTTAACGCACTTGCCTTTTTTCCTATGCTCTGCTCCCATCCTCCAAACCGTTCTTCTCCAGTATACTCATCAAACCAAACTTCCTAAGTTGATGCACTGTCCTGTTTCCTTAGTTGGAAGCCTCCTCCTATTACCTGAGGACCTCATACTCGCATGAAAAGTTCTGCATAACAAAATCGTAGCCAACTTTTCCAATCCTCTCTCCCAAAACATTCATTACCTTCAACCAAAAGAAATAGTTTGTAAGACTTCCCATGCCCACATTTTTGCTTACACTGCCTACAACAGGGATTGGAAAAGTCTGTCCCGTAAGATTTCACCTGCAGTTAGTTTTGTATAGCCCATTAGCTAGAAATGATTCCCATGTGTTAAAGGTGGGTAGAAAGGGAAGGGGCAAAAGGCAGTGAAGTATAAACAACAGAGACTAAATGTCCACCCTCAGACCTTAAAATAATACCTGACCCTTTATACTGCGATCAGCCCTATCTATGGCTACTATCAAAAGTTCTGCTTTGTATTGTAGGCCTATGTTAAATGCAGCTTCATTCTTTACCCTTTGTACTCAATTGTCCAAATGTTTCCTTTCAGTAAGAAACCTTGGGAACACTTCAAACTTTTACTTTTCTCTGTTGAATTATCCCAGGTCGAGAAAAAAACAGGCTAGCTAAAAGACAGACCAATTATAATTTTCTTTATCATAAGGGGCAAACTCACAAAACAGGAACGAGAAGTCCAAGATCAGCTGTACATCACAGGAACCACAAAGAGAGAGTGAACCTTGGACTGCCTGCGTTTTTCTCCGAGTATCCAAAGGTCACACCTTAGCCTGATCCCACCGCTTAAAGATCATTGGCTGACAAAGATTCCCCATCATTTCTCCATGAACCATAATTATATGTATGGGTTTTTATTAAGCTGAGAGCTCTTTGGAGATAAAGATTAATACATACATACATACACACATACATACATACAAATACTCTCTCTCTCTATGTGTGTGTGTGTGTGTGTGTGTGTGTGTGTGTGTGTGTCCCTCCCAGAATAAAACAAGATCTAGACAAAATTAACTTATGATCAAATTCAGTTAGAGTCAAATACAAACCATTTCCTGACTTTCTAAAAATGGATGAGTTTTTCTCTTTGCCTGCATCTCTGCTGAGGCTGCTCTAGGGAGCTCCTGTGGAGCATTAGACCCAGAACACAGTGTAAGAATAAGCTTAAAATCGAGGAACTTCAGTGTTCCTGCTTAGAATTCTCTTTGGCCATCCTGTTGCTGCAGATTTGGTTCAGACTTTAATTGTCATTTGTTATTTCATTGTGTTCCGTGTTGGCTGAGTTCAGGCCGACAACAGACACTCCTAGATAACAAGAGAAAAGCATAATAAATGTATTCAGAGTCTTATGTGGCTCAGGAGCTTCAGAAATAAGGACGGAAAGTCCCTGGGTTAGCTGGTATTTTACACTTCAATTAAAAACTAGGCAGTCATGCAGAAATGGGATTGGACAAGATACAATTGACTGACATTGTTCTGAGGGAGGAAACCTGGCTACTCACCTCCTCCAATTCTTCTTGACCTCGCAGGGTAGATTGCTTTAGAATGGGACCATTCTGAAATGAGGATCTCCTAGGAAGAAGAAAGATCGCGACCCTTCTGATGGAAGTACTCAGGTCTCTGTGACCTGCCCTGGAAAACAAGAATTTTGATTTCTCTTCGTTTGTAAGAGAAAAACAGTGGGAGGAGATTGGTGGGCAGGAAGGCAGAAACACTGCTCTCAGGCTTTTCCAATATTTGGTTCAAAGTTCTTAGCATGCCAAAGATGCCAAGGTTTAAGGAATTAAGTTCTGAGCCTTGAAATTGTATAATAGCAAGAATCTGCTACTCTCCATGTGTGATCGATTTAGATAATTCCTTGAATATTCCTGTGAATGTTTATGTTGGAACTGTAGATTTTAAATTTTGGATCTGTGACATTCAAAAGCTTACCAGGCCACATACACTAGAGAGTGCCTTTGGTTATATTATAAATACAATAAAAACATTTTTGTAGAAGTTATGACATACTTTGGTAATACAGAAGGCGCCGCATGATGAGTGTCATTAAACAAATCTTAAAGAGCCAGACCATGGCCATGGACCCCGAAGAAGTTCAAATCATGTTAAGTTTGGTTATGCATTTGATTTAGCACATGCCCGTCATTTCTGTCCAACACATAAGTTAAGTGTAGAGTGTATTCTTCAGACAGGAAGCAAACCTATTAAGTGGTCCAGAGAAAGACACAGGCTTTCAGATGGACAAAGAAAAGCTGTTGTGTTTCAGATGGCTGTCAGGGAAGGAAATCCATCTGCCAATGCGAAAGCCTCATGCTTTTGACAAATCCAGCAAACATAAACACACATATACACACTCAACGAATCAAAATATTGGGCCTGAATATCCCTTGTCACGTAGCCAAAGGCATTCTCTGAGAGCTGAAGGAGGAAACACAGGAGTGTAATACCCATGTTCCAAACTTCCTCCACAGCTCATTAAAACTTTAATCACCCAACACCTTTTTCTCACCCAAAGTTTAAATGCCACCACAGCCCTCCCCGAAACAACATGGTCACGGCAGTACGCCACCATCCTGCTACCAAATTTCTGTCTAAGCTACAGTCCCTGGTGCTGTGATAAAACACAACAAGAGAAAAACAACTTGGGGGGGTGCAGGGTTTGCTTGCCTTACAGCTAATCATCAAAGGACATCAGGGCAGGAACCTGCAACGGAAATTGAGACAGAGGCCATGAGGGAACACTGCCTTGTTCCACATGACTTTCTCAGCTGCTTTCTTAGACAAACCAGGACCACCTGCCCGGGGTGGCCCCACCCACACTACTCTAGGCTCTGTCACATCAATTACTAACCAAGAAAATGCCCTGCAGACTCTCCCACAGATAATGGGATGAAACTATTTTCTCAACTGAGGTTTCTCTTTCCAGATGACTCTAGGGTGTGTCAAGTTGACAGAAGGAAACACGGCTAGCAAAGTCAATAAGGAGCATGCTCAGTAGAGTATCTGTCATTGACTCCTAATTAGCCATCAGTGTCCAAGACTTATTAGAGAGGATCCCACTGTGCTAAGTACAGTACAAATAAGCACTGTAGCATAGCAGTGTGGTTTTGTGCACTTGTCCCTAGCTATATTGTGTGAGTGGGTGCTTTAACCAACTTCTATTTGAGCTCTGAGACAAAGCAGTGATGCATTCTTGCCACCTTGTGTCACAACTATATTTTTTTTCAGGAACTGTTTGTTTGGACCCACAGGAGAGCATCCCCAAGAGAGCAGCATGAATTTCCTGGCATTACTATGCCCATGTCAACTTGGTACCTATCCAGTGAATGACTCTCCTTCATTAGTATCAGGCTTTAAAATGAGGATGACTTTGCAATGTGCTTGAGTAGAATAGTGTGACTTGCATAGCGATTTTCAGTTCCTGGATAAGTCGTCATCATAGTCACAGTGCATCGCTCAGGCTACGGTAGTTTAAAAAGGTTTAAAAAGAAAATACCATATTTTAAAAATCAGCTGTAATTTTTTTTCATGTGAGTAGAAAATTCTCTGATATGCAAATCTGTAAATAAATTTGAGTCATTATTCTGTTTAAATAGTTTATTCAGACCAACTTTTCAAGAATTTTTTACCGAAACCTAAGTAGGCCAATCATTTGCTAAAAGACCTATTGATGAGTTACCTAAACTATACTTCAAAAATATAGATTATTTTTCAAATTGAAATTCTGTTTTTCCTGTTTTGTTTTGTCCTAGAAAAAATAAAAATTTATAGCTATGAACCTCATACATTTCTTTTAACAAAAGTGACTAAACAGACCAAAGAAGGGAACAGTTGATTCTTTTATGCCTTGGATCATCTCAACAAATTTACCTTGAACATTTCATAGCCTGATTTTACCCATTTACCCATCTTCATGGGTAGATTTGGTTTCTTGTGCCAAATTTCTTGGTTTAAGTTCAAACAGTTTTTCTGCTCTGGGTCTCCAGCAGTTCCTCTTTGAGAGACATATCCCCAGTGCTTGGGTATGTCACAGATTCGAAACTGAATCACTTTTCTTTGTATATTCACTTTTTAGCCACCCAACAATATTTAAACACTGGAATTCTGTCTGAGTGCATCTGTCAAATCATCAAAGACTACAAAGAAAATATCATGAAAATACCATCCAAGCTGTGAGCCAAAGTGCCCTGAATAAATTCAATATTTTAGTGACAATAATACTCAATGAAAATAGGATGCTTTTTTTTTCTTCTTGTTCTGTTCAAATAAATATGTTTTTATTTGAACACGGATCAATAAGTGGCCCAAGACTAGAGAAAAAAATATTTGAAGAATTGGGAGTCACTGAGAGTTAGAACCGTTGTGGTAAAAAATACGATCATCCAATATGAAAACGCTTCTAAAAATAATTGTGGGCAGAGCTGCGGTGATGCGGTGAATCTAAGTCTCTCCCACTAAGGCACTGGAGCTTCATATATATTTAAGTTTTGGATGGAATATAAACTCAAGTCTGTCACCATTAGTCAGTCCTATTTCTGTTCGAATCAAGTTTTCAAAGATGTCTAAAGAAATAACATGAGTTCCATTTAATTTTAGTTTTCACTTTTTTTACACAGTAAGCTCTTATTTTTTAAAGGCCAAAAAAAAAAAAAATCCCACCCACATTTTTTAAAAGACTTGATTCATCCAGTGCTGCAGGACAGGCTCTGTTGACAGAAAGGCAGTCTGAGGAGGGCGGGTGTGGGGACTTATCCTGCACTCTTGCTCAGCATATGCTAAGTTTGGAGAGGAATTACTTAGACTACCATTGAAGATGGTTAGACTGGTAAATGCATGCTGTGGAAGAAGGAAAGGCTGATGGGGAAGGCCAATCCTGCAAACATTTCTAGATCTCCAGTTTCTAACAAGCTTTTGTTTTGATAAAAGAACAACAACAACAACAACAAAAACCCACATATTTTTAAGGTTTTATTTTTTATATTCCAGATGGAGTGTTTGCTTTGTTTTACTTTACCTTTTTTTTTTTTAGAACGGGGTGGGGGGTAGGCTAGAGAGATAGCTCAGCAATTAAGAACACTAGCTGCTTTGTTCTTCCAGAGGTCCTGAGTTCAACTCCCAGAAACCACAAGGTGGCTCCCAACCATCTATAATGGGATTCGGTGCCATCTTCTGGCCTGCAGGCATACATACAGACAGAATCCTGTATACATCATAAATAAATAAATCTTTCGAAACAAAAAATGCACATAAAAGAAGAAGAAAAATTAAAGTAAAGGGTATATTAAACTTACCATTTAAGCACAGAGGTTGGGGAAAGGACTCATTCATTCTGGAAATAAGTTTTGATGAATTTGGGTCATACATACCATTGAGACAAGCATCTATCTCATTCAGGCAAATGTGAATCTGTCCATGAGCTCTTAACTTCTTTCACTAAGCTATTTTTTTTCCAATCAAGAACAATTACATTTCAGTCTTTCAGCTCCAAGCTCATTTTGTGTGCTCCGTGGCACAGGTGGCTCTTGGCTGCCAATGAGCCCTGCAGAGACTCCGAATGTTTCCACAACCACAGACGGTGCTGCCGCTCTGTAGATTTGCTGACGGATGCAGCAATGTGGGTCCCAGCCAAAAGCACTGCCTAAATTTACTTTCTAAGAGAGCGTGGATCTCTATTCACTTGAGAAGATCAGAGAAGCACCTGAATATCCAATTGTTACCATTCTCTTGCTCTTAAGACCAATGGCTTGTTGCTTTAGCAAGACAGGTGCCATCATCTTCTTGGATTATTTTAGAGGCAGCCACTGATCGGAGAAGCAGAAGTACAGCCCATTAACAGGCAATGGGGTGTTTCTCAGAAGCCACTGTTTTCCCGGTAAGATAGGCTATGAGCATTCCACCCCCCCGAGAGCTGGGGAAAGGGGCTGGCCACGCCCATTCCCACCAACTGGAGTGCCTGAGACTGAAGTGAAGGGACAGAGCTGCTGATGCCTTTGGCGGGTGATCCTCGAAGCAGCTCCAGCATCGTTGGCTGAAGACTTCAGCTGTCTGGGCAGCCAGGTGATGTCGAGGGGCTCCAGAGAGGTTCTCCAGAGAGGTAACTGAAGCCACCCACACATGTGGACTTCAGGAGAAGCTTAGAATGACTTGTGACAAAAGATGGTTGGAGGTGACTCCCCCGTGACTTAGAATCATGAAACACTTTGCAGTCACCAGAAACAGTGGCCAAGAGGCGGTAGACCTTGCAATGCGAAGTTATTTCCCGTAGAGAAGTGAAAGCAGGTTTCTCCTTTGTTAGCACGGAAAGTCCCACAATTTTTGATGAGCGAAGGGACTGATCGCCACCTCTGGAAATGTGCCCCGGAAGACCTCTTTCTGATCTAGCCTCGATGTGTTTAAGTCAATTTTTATGTAGCTTGGGAAAAATACAATAGATTCGCTGTTACTTGCTGTAACAAGTGAGTGCAGCTGAGCCTAGCTCATGCATATCTTATGAAGGCAGAGGCAGCCACGTTCTCACGGCTTGCCCCGAGCTTTTGTATAAATAGCCTGCGTTTAGAAACAGTTCAATTGACCAGAAACTCAACTCGGAAATTAGCACACGGGACCTGCCAACCTGCCAAAAAAACTTAAATCAAGGATTAGAAGAGTGAAATTACTTTTAAAATGCTTTTAAATTGAGTATATTTAAAGTCCAGGAAGTCAGCTCTTTAAAAATGTTTACTATATTTATTTATTTTATCATGTGTATGAGTGTGTGGCAGAGTCTGTGTGGAAGCCAAAGGACTATTTGCAGGAGTTGGATCTCTCCTTCTACCGTGTGAGTCATGGGAGCTGAACCAAGGCTGTCAGACTTGGAAGTAAGTGTCTTTACCCTTGAAGCTTTATCGCCAGCCTGCAAGTTATCATTTTTATTAACAATTATTAAGCCCACGGTGTTTTCACATAGATAGAACATTTGTCAGTAGTAACCTTTTGTTTCCCAAGTTCTAAGTGGTTATTTTACTCATTGAGGTAAGCTTACCTACATGTCAAGTAGTTGCTTTCTGCTTATTCTTTATATACATAACAGACGATGTGTCAACGTTCATGGCAACAAGTTGCTTCATTTGCAAGTGAGTTAACCTACTTTCAGAATTTCAGTGAGTATTTGTATCTTCATTTTGTGGGACAGTATGTTGATTCAAAATATCCCCATGGTTTTCATGTGCACCAGACTTCTTGTTGTTGTAACAGCTGTCTACAGCTGCAGGCAGGGGCCATTTGTTTTAGCTAGCAGTTGTTTTAGCTAACAGTTTCAGGGGATTCTGCCCCTACTCATTGTTGTTTTGCTTCTCTCTCTTGTAATGCAGAGCATCAAAAGCATCGGGAGGGCACCATCACTTGGGGACACTTCAGTAGATGGAAAGACTTCACACCTAAATATCACGGAATAACTTTTTCCAGAATAACGTTTCCAAGGTAGAGAGCGTGGTCTAAGATTTCTGCTTCTGTTTCTCTTTATTCTTTCTTACATTTATATGGTTTGAAGAATAGCCCCCATAGGTGCATCTAGTTGAATGCTTAGTTACCAGTTAGAGGAACTATTTGGGAAGGACTAGGATGTGTGGCTTTGATTTGTTGGAGGAGGAGCGTCACTAGAAATGTGCTGTGAAGTTTCAGAAGCTCACACCAACCACCCCAACTATTTCCTCCCCCTCCCCTACCGCTGCCTGTGCCTGTGGATTAGTATATATAGCTATTGATCCAGTATCATGCCCAGATGCTCCCTACCATGATGATCTTCACTATATTAACCCTCTGAAACTGTAAACCAGCCCCAGATTAAGTGGTGTTTTCTATAAGAGTTGCCTTGTGGTGCAACTTTACAGCAATAGAACATTAAGACAATGTATTTTCTAAGAGTCTTCTGGGAGGTTTTCCATTCCTCTTTTCTTCCATTTTCTATATTTTGTAGCCTTTTAGAGGTTTCTGGCCAACTATGGATCACAAAGCACATTTTCAATATTCTTTGACCTGGAAAGTTTTCTGTGTCCAATCAAAAAATATTTTCTCATTTAATGGATCATCTCATTTAAGGATAGAGGCCTGACCTTCCTCATCCTTTTGTTGAATGTTAAAGGCTTATTTATGTTCTGGGATCCGGGGACTTACTCTTGGATTCCTTTATAATAAAAACTTTCAAGTTTGTGATGGTTTGAAAGAAAATCGGCCCCAAAGGGAGTGGCACTATGAGGAGGTATGGCCTTGTTGGAGTAGGTGTGGTCTTGTTGGAGGAAGTGTGTCACTGTGGGAGGGGGCTTTGAGATCTCTTTTCTCCAGCTTCACTCGGTGTGACAGTTGACTTCCTGCTGTCCTCTGGTCAAGATGTAGGCAGCTCTACATCTGCCGCACACTGCCATAATCCCCATTGTGAGGATAATGGACACAATTTCTGAAACTGTAAGCCATGGTCATGAAAACATTAAATGTTTTCTTTGTAGGTGTTGCCGTGGTCATGGTGTCTCTTCACAGAAATAAAAAAAAACCATAACTAAGATAAAATATTTCATATGTTCTTTGCGGGCCTCAAGGTTAATATTACATGGAGGATCCTGGCTAGAGTACGTGACATCTGTGGCCAGCACACCAGTCCTTCCCTATTCCAAATGACCACAAAAACCCATAGTATCATCCGCTCTGGGCATAAAGGTGTGAGCCCAGGAACCAATATAACTGATCAAGACTCCAAAGGGATCCTTCAAGAGGGATTCAAATTCCCTTTCAAGATTCCTTACTTCAGAACTTGTGAGGGAAGCATTCACAAATCCAGTCCCCACCAAGGAAACTTTACAAAGGGGATGAACAAAAGCTGGAGGAGTCTCTGCTAGCAGGGGACTGCGGTCTGAGAAGGGGAAGTTCCCAGTGTCCCTTTGGTGTCATTCTATTTCTTTCTAAGTCTGGGCAAAAAGGTTGCTAGAGAATGGGCTGAGAGTAAAGTACGGGTGAAGACTAAAGCATCAGAGGGAGAGAGTAGGTAAGTGGGAGGGGAGGGTAAAGAGAACTTAGGTGCAAGGAAGGGAAGTTGAGGGAAGGACTGAAGTCAAAAAAGGAGAAGGAGAGAACCTAGGAAGTTCTGTGAGTCCAAAGGGTCTCATAGGCATTTTGACCCTTCATCTTTATGGCTGTCATTTTAAACCTATATGTGAGGATAGACTGAATCACTCACAGTATCCAGCATCACTTTAGAGCTGTCTTAGTGGACATGAATTCCTTTAACCTTTTTTTGTTTTTGTTTTTTCATCATGGACATAGTATTAAAACAACCCCCAATGACTTATTACTATATTCATAAGTTAGAATGTCACAACCCCCATCAAGGGAGCTTCTCCTTGCAGGCGATGGCAATTAACCCGGCAGCTCCCAAATGGTCGATGCGTAGAGAATACAGACTGTGTGGATGTCCAGCCCTGAATGGGACCTACACGTCGCACCCCTCTCCCAAGACTCAGGGATTTTCCCAGAGGTGGAGCAGACAGACTAGAAGAACCGGAAGTATCAAGAACATCAGGAAACAGTATTTTCCGGAATCAACAGGGCAGTTGCAATTATGAATTCACATAAATTATGACAGATCAGCTCCTCTAAGAGACATACCAATTGTGTATGTGTGTGCATGCATATTTCATAACAGGATTCCAATGTCATACATATATACATATTTTGCAACAGCGTTTTACAACATTTAAAGAATAGGACAAAACAGAAATGATGGGTAGGTCAACTTAGGGTACAGTTTGTGATTGCAAATTTCTTTTTTTAAATAATTGATGCAAATGGACAAAATCCAGCTATGGAAATATGAACCCCATCAAACTGAATCAATCAACATTTATTGAATGTTCTGCCTAGCAAAAAGAAAAGCCACCGTTTTTGAAATGTACATGAATATTTTATTAAACCATATGCTGATGCCTAAAATACATTTAATAAATTTTAAAGGGTCAGGGCTGGAGAGGTGGTTCAGCTGTAAAATGCTTGCCCTGCAAACCTGAACCCCTCAGTACAGATTTTCAGGACCCAAAACCAAAACCAGTCATAGTACAACTGTCTGCTGTCATCCTTGTGTGTCTGCAGGAAACGGGAGGCAGAGACGAGAATGAATCTCCAAAAGTTAGCTTGGTCATAGTAAGTCCTACTTTCTCTATGGAAAGGAGAGGAAGGACAGACACCCCAAGTATATCCTCTAGCCCCACTAGCCCAGTGACACACTATTGCCTATGGTCACGGCATTAATTAGGGAAGGTTGCCTGCGTGAGTGGGGAGTTACTGACTTGAGCAAAGGCAACTTAACCAGGGTCTGCATTAGAGACTCTCCACCACCAGCAACCAAGAACTGCCTAGTTATCCTCCTCCGAGGGTGGAGCCTCCTGCATACCTCTCCGCTCTACAACCGAATGTTAACTTCTCAGTTTTGCACTGTCTTACGCAGGTCTCCACAGCTGCTGTGAACCTATAACTTCAAAATTGTGACGTGTGCAGAAGGCAGTTCTTGATAGCACTCCTTCCTTCCCTATGGCTCTTACAGGCTTTCGGTCCCCCTTTTCCTTCATGTTCCCTAGGACTTGAAAGGGGACAGTCGGATCTCCTGTTTAGAGAAGAACACTGAATAACTACATACCCTTCAGGCAGAAACTGAAGGCCATTTGGGAGTGCTGCTTAGTGCCTTACTCCCTATGGCTTGCTGCAGAGTTTGCTTTTGTGTATAACCCAGAACCAGCCAGGCATGGTAATCCCTGCACCCCAGCACTCGGGAGGCAGAGGCAGGAGGATCTCTTTTAAGTTCGAGACCAGCCTGGTCTATAAGAGCTAGTTACAGAACAGGCTCCAAAGCTGCAGAGAAACCCGATCTCAAAAAACAAAACAAACAAACAAAAAGAAAAGAAAACAAACAAACAAAAAACACCAGGACCACCTCCCCAGGAGTGGCAACAGCCACAGTTGCCTGTGCTCTCCCCCATCAATCATTAATAAAGAAAACACTGCAGACTTGCCTACAGACCAATCTGATAGAAGCGTTTCCTCAGTTGAAATTCCCTCTCTTTCTGAATGACTCTAGTCTGTGTCAAGTTAACAATAACTACAAACACAGTAAGCTTATGGTTGACTACGCTGTACATATGATCTAAAGTATACCACTGAACCTGAAAAAATAAAAGAAATAAAAAAATGTAAAGGCATATGGAGAAAAGTGAGTTTGTATTGTGTTCTAATATGCACAGCGTAAATGTGTTTGTGCATATGCACGTGTGTCTGTGTGTGCGTGCACGCATGCATGATAGCCACCCCACAAGTAAGTCTTGATCTTTTTCTCTTGGGCCTGAAGCAGGACCTGTGGGACTTCGGGATCATTACTTCCTGCAGCATTGCAATTGCTTTCTGTAGAGTTTCTATTGGGTGTGAGCTACTGCTAAGAGACTCCAAAATGCCTGGCGGTGGGCTGTTAGGGTGAAAGCAGCTCTTCCCGACAACCAGGAAGAAAAAAGATGTCAGCATTAGACCCACAGGGCTCCTCTGATTCTCGTTTTCAACCTGGGGAGACCCCAAGGGCAGACTCTATTTGAATTATGCCTAGAGTTGTGACCTCCGGAGAACTGGTGAGTAATGGATTGTGCCGTCTCTGGAGTGGTCTGCTGTGCAGCGGCAGCAAACACAGCAATGTTCTAAGCTTTCTGGTACTTTCTCTGCCAACTTCTGGCATCTGCCATTATCTCAAGGAATCTCTGTCGGCAGGAAGAATCGAGGCTGGAATTTTGTGTGTATATATATATATATATATATATATATATATATATATCTCAAATAATGAGGGAAAACACAGCACCCACTGAGGGGCACTTACAAAATGAACTGAATGCCTCAGAAAATGGGCTGGAGAAATGGCTCAGTTGGTAAGGAGTTTGCTGCCCAAGAGTAAGTGCCTGAGTTTTTCTCATGGGGAAAATCCAAGAGCAACAATAATTCCAGAGCTGGGAAGGTGGCAGCAGACGGGAATGTACTGGTCGGTCGGCTGTCATGACTAGGGAATATGGTACAGTTTAGGGGAGAGATGCTGTCTTCAAAACTAAGGTGGAAAATGACAGAGGAAGACACTGTGCACGTATGTCCATGTGCATCAACACACACACACGTGCGCACACACATACAGTCAAAAAAAGGAATAGAAATTTTAAAGTGTCAAGAAATACAACAGTATTGAAGGAGAATAAAGAAAACGGAACAGTACAATCAAAGCAAAAATGCAAGTTTGTGTTAAAACTTGAAGGAAGAGAAAGGGACATTAGGGAAATTTACATAAGGTTTATAAAACTCACTGTATTTATATATCAATACTACTTTCTTAATTCAAGTAGCTGTGTTATAGTAATTTAAGAGGATGTCCTTGTTTGAGCAAACATTTTATTCCAGTCTTCTAAGATTTTAAAAAAACAAGCAAATAACCATTTCAGCAGAATAAAAGATAAATAAAGAAAAAATCATATTTATTTCAATATATTCAGACAAATCACTTGATAAATTCCACACACCCATTTATGATAAATGTAAAAGACAATAAAATCCACATTACTTGCAGACCAAGAATAAAAGAAGTATCAGTACGATAAAAAAGATGATCAATAAAAATCTTCAGCTAAAATCATATTTAATGATAAAATATTCAATACTTCCCCTATATAGGAAAAAAATCAAGGCAAAGGTAGCTGCCATCACCGTTTTAAAAATATCATATACAATGGAATCAAAATGCTGAGACACATAGGGTACTGGTGGTATGTGTGTGTGTATGTGTGAGTGTATGTGTGTGTGTATGTGTGTGTGTATGTGTGTGTGTATGTGTGTGTATGTGTGTGTGTGTATGTGTATGTGTGTGTGTGTGTGTGTGTGTGTGTGTGTGTGTAAGTCCTGGGTGTAGACCCCTGGATGTCCCCCATGCTAGGTTAGACATTTAATAAGAATACACAGAATCTGTATACTAAAAACTATAAAAAAATGTTGCCAAGAGAAATTTAGCGACGATAAATTAAATGGAGAAAAATTAGCATAAATCGTAGATTGGCAGACCAAAAACTCAATGTGGGGCACACAGTATTTCAGAGGGCTCCCTGGTCCTCTATTACCAGAATCTACTGGTCTTGTAAGGGTAATAGATGCAGTCCCACAGGGCGGGATTGATCGTGACAGAAATGAGCATAGAAAGGCAGCGTAATCATTACAGGAGCTAACAAGCAAAATCGTAACATCTTCTATTTCCTTTTCAAAAAAGTAACATTTAAAATGAAGCACAGAATAAACATATTTCAGAGAGAGAATGCAGATAATCTCAACATGTTTTCAATTATTTCATCTTACTGAGAACAAATAATACAGCAGGGAAGGAAAAGGCAAACTAAGAAAATGGATGGTTAGAAAATTATAGAGAGGAGAACAGTTTCTCACTCAACATGTCACCGAGAATATTGGCAAGCCATCATTTTCAACTGTCAAGAAATGTAAAGTGAAACATCTCCGTAGCAAAGAGGAAGGCAGTAGCAGCCAGCCCATCCTGTCAATCAACACAATTGTAGAGAAATATTGGGATCAATGGTACTGAGGAGAGAAAAAAAAAGTATTTTGAATAAAAGTAAAGCCGAAGGTTCTAATTTAGTTTTCGTTGCTGTGATAAACACTATGACCTAAAGCAAGTTAGGGAAGGGAAGGGTTCTTTGGGCCTACAGGTTTACAGTTCATCACTGAGAAAAGCCAAGGCTGGAAACTCGAGGTGAGATCCTGGAGGAAGGAAATGAAGCAGAGGCCACAGAGAAAAGCTGCTAATTGGCTGGCTCTCTATGACTTGCTCAGTTGCTTTCTTTTTTAAAAAAAAATACATCTCAGGCCCACCAGCCCACCTGTGGTACCACTTGTGGTTGGCTGGTCCCTCCTACGTCAATCAGCAATGAAGAAAATGCCCCCACAGACCCACAGACATGGCCGGATGCCAGTCTGATGGAGACGGTTCCTCAGTTTAGGGTTCCCCTTCCCAGGTTGACAAAACAAAAACAAAAACAAAAACAAAACAACAACAACAAAAAAAAGCAAACACCCTCACCTGCACAGCTAGACACTGAGACTACACCAGTGTTTTACTTAGGATATTTAACAAGCTAGAATTACATTTCACTATTTTTAGTTTTAAAGAAAAACCTATATTTGGCCATGAAATCCACTATTACATGAGTGATTTTCCCACCAAAGAATGTGCTTAATATATAGGCTTTATATTTCATAAACACAGGTCATTATTTCAGGCAAGAAATAGTAAGGAGAGAATCACAGTATATTATTATATTAAATATGAATATATGCCATAAAACTGTAAACTTCATTGTAAATGAATTTCAAGCCAATGGATTTCATAAAGTGGCAACGACATCCTGAAGAAAAGAAAAATTACTTGAGACACTGGAAGTCCTGGGCAAAGCCTCTTTCTTACAGAAGGTTTGGCAGGTTTTCCAGACATCACTGAGTTCATAAACACACCCTGTGGAGTGATGGGGGTGCGCTTCTTCCACCAGAATCTAAAAGAACTGTGACTGCTGCAACTGGCCCAGCCCTCCTACTGTTGCCTGCCAGTGTGGGAGTTAATGTGGACTGTTTCGGTGCCAGCCAACTCGGTGGGGCACACCACTAAGTGACTTCCACTGGTGCCACACGAGACAAGGGCTTACAAGGCTGAGCACCATCAAAACCCAATTTTGGAGATGAAGTGCAGTTCTATTTTCTTTTAACTCACAAAGTTTGAGGACAGTAAGCAGAGGATGATCCATTTTATAGAGAACAGAAGCAGAATGATTGACAGTCCCTAATGATGATGTAATGATGGACAAATAATCCAGAAAAAAAATATTATAGCAATAAACTGATTTTCTTTTATTTTTGTTTGTTTCTGGATGGTTGGAGCATTATCCAAGAGAAACTTTGAATCTATAAGCAGAGCAGATTTTAAAAAAATGAGGCAATACATCAGAATTTTTAAATAATTATAATAGATAATTAAATGAAACTGTCTAATTTGCTAAATTCTAATCATCAGAAGCTACACAACCAGCTGTCAATTGTCTGCCTTAGTCTCCTTTTATGACAAACAGTAATAATAAGTCAGTAAGAACATTTTACCATCTTATTGAGAAAAGTCACCGTATCACCAAGTTGAAGAAGCCATGTTTAAGGTCTGAGACAGTGAGCTGTGGCTAATGAATGGCTGAGAAACAGCTAAAACCAAAGAACACAGCCCTCTCCCTCCTCATGTAACGCACTGTACACACCAGCCAAGGATACTTCTGTCACTATGGTCGCTACGACCCTGGGGCTCAAAGTCACAATGAACAAAATAATCTCAGAAAGATTTTATCATGGAAGCTTTCTGCTTCTTTTTATGTTAGGGAAGAAACCCAGGGTTCACTGTACGCCATGCATGTGTGCTGCCACTAAGCTGTGCCACCCGGCTGAGGTTATTTATCTTTGAACTGTAGTTACCTCTTTCTTCAGAGACTGTTCGTTTGTTTGTTATTTAGTTCCACTATGACGTTGAATCTGCTGGAACTTAATTTTGGTGTGTTGAACTTGGCTTCCTGATGTGAAACACAACACTTACATCAACACACATGTGAAACCCACTGATGTAGCGCCATTCAAGCCGACCAAGTTGGCTAAATACATAAATATCTGGAGCAGAAAGCCAAACAATATTATTTGTATGTTATGTTTCCTGTCTATCAGAAAATTGAAAACAACAGAGGGCACAGAGCTTACT